GGTTATAGTAGAAACGTTGCTACATGTAGATTCAGTTCGATACTCAGGCCTGGTTTCTCGTAGGATACCTTGTAGGATTCGTGTCGAACACAAAAGTTCCGTGGAACAGCACGTAGAAAAGGAGTCCAGTCTTCCACTGTATCTACACAACGTCCGTCGACTAGGCGAGTAGCTTGCACACCACGTGGGGATGAACTGACTCTCCCCGTTCACTCACAACACAAGGCTGGCCCTGGTTGCTTGCTATTTTCTTGAAATAAGAAGACAGTGTAGCATACTCAGTCTGTCAATAATTGTTGGCAAGTTTTAGCTAAGAGACAGGAAGAGGTTAGGTTTTTGAGCCAATCAGGTCTGTTCAATATGTTTCATTGTTTATGTATACTGTTTTAGTCATGAAATCTGTACTGATTTGTATAATTGCATCAGGTTTGAAATAAGCACTTTGATAATTTGTTTGCAAAACTAAAAAAACAGCCAACTATTTACGATCATTAGTATTTGAACTAATCGGGCCAGAAATGAGACAGGATTATCTCAATGTTTTGTTAGTAGCTTCAACAACAAAGCCAAAACGTAATTTGTGAAATTGACATATTGATTTCAAAACCCATTTTTTGATAATTTAAATTAAAAATTATCCAATATTAAAGTTTTCTAGTTTTTAGGTGTCAAAGTGAAGTTTCTCTGATCAAAGATGACCATATTACACAATAAAAATTTAGTCTGAATTCTATTTAAATTTATCTGTGTTGCACACCATTCATTTCGCCCTGCACTATATTTTAAGTTCTTCTCTTCTGAAGTTATTAATCAGTCAATTTACGCACATTGTCACTGCCGACCCCAAAATGACATTGGTATTTGAGAAAAAAACATTAAATGAAATACAAATAACACTGATAACCCAGGACCTCCACAACATTTTAAATTCAGTTAAATCCAAATGATTGATGATAAAGTCTTTGAACAAAATATAGAAAACAATGCAACTTGTATGTCTATGATTGTCATAACAAAACTCATTCATTGCCAACTGAATACCTCCATTGATAGCTATAACGAATGGGGGGGGGGATTGTCAGCAGGCAATATTGGTTCATTGTGAACAATACTATAGTGACTTAAGCGTAACTTCTCTGATTGGTGGTAAATTACTGTTCATGTTTTCTCTCTGACCTCTCTGAAAGAACCTACTTGCAGGAAAGTAATATCTTCTGTTTGTTACAGCTCCAAGGACAGCAGAATTTGGTGCAAGGACAGACAGCTGTTAATCTAACCCAGCAGCCAGTAAGTGTGGGATCACCGATACCACAGCCAGTGATTCCTACTGTCACAGCACAGCAACAACTACAATTACAACAAGCCCAGAAACCACCTTCCCAGTCTGGTGAGGAACCAACTGATCTTGAAGAGCTAGAACAGTTTGCTAAAATGTTTAAACAGCGACGAATCAAACTGGGTTTCACTCAGGTAGGACGCTTCTTTGATGTAAATATAACGAGGTTGAACAAATTTTACATCATGTCTCGAATGATGTGATGTATGAAATTTTTAGTACCCGTTCAAACGAAGTCTGAAAACTGGGACTTGTAATTCGATCTCTGTCCGTCCGTCCGTCCGTCCGTCCAGAATCATATCTCAGAATCCCTTGGACCGATCCCATTCATTCTTTGCATGTGCCTAGTACTTTATGTGGGACATATGCACATGCAGTGGTTTAGCTATTCGATTCAAAATGGGCGACTGGCAGCCGTCTTGTTTTTTGAAAATATTGTGTTTTGGACATGCTTTGTCAGTTTTCATTCAAACTTGGTACATAGATGTTAGGATACATGTCCATGACGATTTATTTCACAATTGGATCAAAGATGGCAGACTGGCAGCCATCATGTTTTTTGAAAATGTCGTATTTTGGACATGCTTTGTCAGTTTTCATTCAAATTTAGTACATAGATCATACATGTTAGGATACATGTCCCCGACCGTGCCTGAGTCTGTCTGTCCGTCCGTCCGTGTGTCCGTCCGTCCGTGTGTCCGTCCGTCCATGTGTCCATCCGTCCATGTGTCCGTCCGTTCATGCGTCAGTCTGTCCATGCGTCAGTCTGTCCATGTGTCAGTCTGTCCAGAGTCATATTTCACAATCCTGTGGATCGATTCCGTTCATTCTTTGCATGTGTCAAGTACCTTATGTGGGACATATGCACATGCAGTGGTTTAGAGATTCGATTCAAAATGGCCGACTGGCAGCCATCTGGT